ATAGTATCTCATTTTAATTCTGTTATCTTTTATATATCCTTGTATTTTGTTTCTAAGTAGCATATTGTTGGATTTTTGTTTTAACCAATTGTTAGATTTTTATCTTAACCAGATTTTGTTTGCAACCCAGATGGTACAGAATTACTTCTTTTTTTTTTTTTTAAAGATTTTATTTATTTATTTGAGAGAGAGAATGAGCGAGAGCACATGAGAGGGGGGAGGGCCAGAGGGAGAAGCAGACTCCCTGCCGAGCAGGGAGCCCGACGTGGGACTCGATCCTGGGACTCCAGGATCGTGACCTGAGCCAAAGGCAGTCGCTTAACCGACTGAGCCACCCAGGCGCCCCTGGAATTACTTCTAAATAACCTGAGGGACACTCTGTATCTTTTGGAGTATTTAGTTCATATTTACATAATACAATTGCATAGTGTTTAAATCTGTCATCTAACTGTGAAAGTATCTTGCCTGTTCTATATTCTCTTTTCCCCATTCATGCCTTTAGATTTATTATCTCTTATTTTTGTTTCCCCCTCTAATAACTTGATAATTATAAATTTCTAAAATTATTGGCTTAATGGTTAACTTTGAGATTAAAGCATGCATCATTGATTCAGCAGTCTTAGATTTTCTCTCTTCCCACACAACACAAGTATCTTAGAACAACTTATTTAACCTAATTTATATGTTGTTGAAATTATGTATTTTAATTGTATTTATATGTCAAATCTCATAAGACTATGTTCTGTGCAGTCAGTATTCATTTAGATTTATCTATATTTTTTATAGATTTTATAGATTTATCTATATCTCTTCATTTTTTCTTCATTTCTAAGCTTCTACCTAGGGTTATTTTTATTCTGCTTAAAGAATACTCTCTAATATTTAATTTTATTCACACCTGCCAGTATCCTATTCCCTCCATTTTTCTTTTTATCTAAAAATATTTTTAATCTTCTTTTTGGATAATATTTTTGGTAAGTTTAGACTTCTAGGTTGGCATCACATTCTTTCAGCATTGTGAAAATATCATTCCTTGTTTTCTGTCTTACATCAAATCTGTTGACAAGTCAACCGTCTGTTTAATTCAGGAGTCAGTAAACCTTTTCTGTAAAAGGTAAGACAGTAGATATTTTAGGCATTGTGGAAACATAATAGCTCTGTTGCAACCACTCCATTTAGCAATTGTAAGCACAAAAGCATCCAAAGACAAAATATTAACCAAAGAATGTGGTTAAATTTCCACTAAAACCTTATTTATGGACACTGAAATTTGAAATTCATATGATTTTAATGTGTTACAGTATATTATCCTTATAATATATTTTTCAACCATTTAAAACTATATATTCTTGGGCGCCTGGGTGGCTCAGTTGGTTAAGTGACTGCCTTCGGCTCAGGTCATGATCCTGGAGTCCCGGGATCGAGTCCCACATCGGGCTCCCTGCTCGGCAGGGAGTCTGCTTCTCCCTCTGACCCTCTTCCCTCTCGTGCTCTCTGTCTCTCATTCTCTCTCTCTCAAATAAATAAATAAAATCTTTAAAAAATAATAAAATAAAATAAAACTATATATTCTTATCTCACTGGCCATACAAAAATATGTAGTGGAACAGATTTGGCTGTAGTTTGCAACCTGTGACTGATTGTTTCACCTTGACAGAAATCTGTCTTTCAGTTTATTTTATATTTCCTTTGTATTTTTCCTACTTGGGATTAATTTGGCTTCTAATATCTGTGGCTTGATATTTTTTATCTGTTTTGGAAAATGTTTTGGTGTTAATGTCTTTGAACTTGATTTCATCTCATTCTGACTCACTTCTCTTTCTAGTCTTCTGGGACTCTTAGATAGAGTGTGATAGACCTTTTCTGTAATAGACCTTTTCACTCTATCCTATATGTCTCTGTAATGTTTTTTAAAATAATTTTTTCAAGTTTTTCATCATTCTGTACTTCAATATGCATATTTTCTACTGACTTAATTTCCATTTTAACACTCTCATGTGTCATATCTACTGTGCTTTTAGTCTTTGAGTTCTTATTTTCCAGTTCTAGAATTGGCATTTGATTCTTATTTTATACTTTCCAATTATTTGGTGAAATTATTGGTCTTGTCTTATTTTCTTGAATGTACTAATCAGCATTATTTTAAGACCTCAACTGTCTGGATACCTTTTAGATCTGTTTCTATTATCTGTTTTTTCTCTTGAATTTTTTTTTTCCCTCTCTCTTTTTTTTAAGATTTATTTATTTGAGAGAGAAAGAGAGCGGGGTGGGGGCATTGGAGGAGGAAGAGAGAAACTTAAGCAGACTGTGGGCTCAGCATGGAGCCCAACACAGGGCTCAGTCTCGCGACCCTGAGATCATGACCTGAGCTGAAACCAAGAGTGGACACTCACCAACTGCACCACCCACATGCCCCTCTCTTGACTTTTTTCTAATGAGTCTTTTGTCTTCTTGTATGCCTATTAGTTTTCATTGTCAAGCATTGTTATGAGAATTTGAGGTTCTGGATTGTGTAATCTTTTTCCATAGAGAATTATTTGCCTTGGTGGGCTGCTAGGATAAAGGCCGTAACCATCCCCAGTTACCTTAATTCAATTTAACATTTAAGTGAACTGGGTTCTAGGGGTGCCCTCTTTGGTGTCCCTGAATCCAAATCTTTGTCCTTTTTTTTTTAAGGTTTTATTTTTAAGTAATCTCTACACCAAACGTGAGGCTCGAACTTACAACCCTCAGATCAAGAGTTGCATGGTCTACCAACTGTGCCAGCCAGGCGACCCTCAAATCTTGGTCTTTTTTAAAAAGATTACACTGTGGGGTGGTGGTCTTAAAACTTGCTTGTATATACAATTTGATATTTTACTCTTTTCAAAAAAAATTTATTTGAGAGAGAGTGAGCATGCATGCATGCACAGGTAGGGGGAGAGGCAGAGGGAGAGAATCCTCAAGCAAACCCTCCACTGAGTGTGGAGTCCAATGGAGGGCTCGATCTTATGACCCATGAGATCATGACCTGAGCCAAAACCCAGGAGTCAGATGCTCACTGACTGAGCCACCCAGGTTCCCCAATATTTTACTTTTTTTTTTTTTAAGATTTATTTATTTATTTGAGACCAAACACAAGCGGGAGTGGGAGAGGGAGAGAGAATCTCAAGCAAACTCCACACAGCACAGAGCCCAACTAGGGGCTCAATCTCACAACTCTGAGATCACAACCTGAGCTGAAACTAAGAGCTGGACACTTAACTGACTCTGCCAGCCAGGCACCCCAATATTTTACTTTTTAAAACACTTTTTTTTTTTTTCAAGTAGGCTCCAAGTGGAGTCCAAAATGAGGTTTGAACTCACAACCCTGAGATCAAAACCCAAGCTGAGATCAAGAGTCAGATGTTCAACTGACTGAGCCAGTCAGGCGCTCCACACTTTTATACTTGTTTTTTTTTTTTTAAGATTTTTTATTTATTTGACAGAGATAGAGCGTGCACACACAAGCAGGAGGAGAGGCAGAGGGAGAGGGTGAAGCAGGCTCCCCACGGAGCAGGGAGCCAGATGTGGGGCTCGATCCCAGGACCCTGGGATCATGACCTGAGCCAAAGGCAGATGCTTAACTGAGCCACCAGGCGCCCCTGCATTTTTATACTTCTTTTAAATTTCTAATTAACTTTCAGGCAATTATTTCTTTTTCCTTTTTTTTTTTTTTAAGATTTTATTTATTTATTTGAGAGAGAGAGTGAGAGAGAGAAAGAGCACAAGAGCGGGGAGCGGGAGAGGGAGAAGCAGACTCCCTGCCGAGCAGGGAGCCCGATGCGGGACTCGATCCCGGGACTCCAGGATCATGACCTGAGCCGAAGGCAGTCGCTTAACCAACTGAGCCACCCAGGCGCCCCCAGGCAATTATTTCTAAATGTTTAAAAACAAATTGGTGATGTAATGTATGGGGATTAACATAAGAATAAAAAAAAAATTGGATGGGGGCACCTGGGTGGCTCAGTCGTTAAGCGTCTGCCTTCGGCTCAGGTCATGATCCCGGGGTCCTGGGATCAAGCCCCGCATCAGGCTCACTGCTTGGCGGGAAGCCTGCTTCGCTCTCTCCCATCCCCTCTGCTTGCATTCCCTCTCTTGCTGTGCCTCTCTCTGTCAAATAAATAAATAAAATATTTTTAAAAATAAATAAAATAAATTGGATCAAAACCTTTTGTGGATAGTGGAATATTTCATGACTTTAAAATTCAAGGTGTAAGTAGTTTTGATCTGATTTTTTTTACAGACTTTCAGGAATGTTCTTAAGACATAAAAAGGTTGCAAAACTACCCTTGATGATTATTATTACTATTCAAAACATTAATAACTATAAATATTAATTTTGACTAATTTGCTGTTCAACTACTTTCTGAAAAATCATAGTGTTTTTTTTCCATAAACATCTGATTAAAAAGTACATACAAAGACTTGAAGAAACTACCCTAGGAAATTTGAGAAAGCCCTCATACAAAAAGCCAGCAAGCAAAGAATGAGAACAAAAAGAAAGTATGGTTGGGAACAAATGCCCTCATTTGAGAAAGGCCTCATACAAAAAGCTAGCAAGCAAAGAAGGAGGACAAATAGAATGTATGGTTGGGAGCAAACAAATGCCTGGTTGTAGAGTAAATGGGAAGCAAGAAAGTAGTCACAACTTTTGAAGAATGATCTGGGGGAAAAAAAAGTTCACTGTAAAGGGAATGAGAAAAGAAGTATTTGAGATCCTTAGATTCTAGGAGGTTACCATAAATGAATTTTTTTAGTAGGGGAAAAACTGAGTTTACTACTTTGGTTCTTGGTTCAACCAGCCTCCCTCAAACCTACCTCTTTCTTCTTAGAAAACAAGGCCAATTTGCAAGCAGTTAAAACTTCGTATTCATTATCAGCTGAGGTTTCCCTTTTATTATCCTGTTTACTGAGATCTTCCTAGCTTAGGAAATGGGAGTCATTTGATTTGATTTGATTTATTTCTTTTTTTCCCCCAGAGTTGGAGACCAAACATGCAACCAAGAATGTATCAACTGCGGATATTTCTGAAGATGTATCACAAGAGACCATAATAGATAAACTCACAGAGAATGGTCTATGGAACTCCAGAATGGGAGGATTATGGAAATGGAATGAAAGGATATTGAGATTGCAAAATAGTCAGGAAAATCATTTGAACCAAAAAATAGTTACTCACAAGAAAATTCCCTCTGGTCAAAGAGGCTTTAGATTTGGATCTATTCTTTTTCCTGAAGCAGGAGTCATAAGAGAAGAACCCCACAGCAAATGCCAAATACGTGAAAATTTCACTGAGAATTTAGATTTTATTACAGATACACATATGGGGAAGAAAATTTGCAAGGATACAGAAGGCAGCAAAGCCATAAGGCCTACTTCAGAACTTATGTTAGGGAAAAAATACAATAATAAAGAAAAGCCCTATAAATGTAGTACATGTGAAAAGTCCTTTCGTTATAGGTCACTACTCATTCAACATCAGAGAACTCACACTAAAGAAAAACCTTATGAATGTAATGAATGTGGGAAAATGTTCAGCCAGCCTTCATATCTCAGTCAACATAAAAAAATTCACACTGGAGAAAAACCCTATAAATGTAATGAATGTGGAAAGGCCTTCATTGCTTCTTCATCACTTATGGTACATCAGAGAATTCATACGAAGGAGAAACCTTATCAATGCAATGTCTGTGGAAAATCTTTTAGCCAGTGTGCTCGCCTTAATCAACACCAGAGAATTCAAACCGGAGAGAAACCCTATAAATGTAGTGAATGTGGGAAAGCTTTCAGTGATAAATCAAAACTTGCAAGACATCAGGAAACTCACAATGGAGAGAAGCCCTACAAATGTAATGATTGTGGGAAAGCCTTTAGGAATAAGTCATATCTTAGTGTACATCAGAAGACCCATACTGAAGAGAAACCATATAAATGCAATGAATGTGGGAAATCTTTCAAGAATACCACAATTTTTAATGTCCATCAGAGAATTCATACTGGAGAGAAACCCTTTAGATGTAATGAATGTGGGAAAGCCTACAGAAGTAATTCAAGCCTTATTGTACATATAAGAACTCATACTGGGGAAAAACCCTATGAATGTAATGAATGTGGGAAAGCATTCAATCGTATAGCAAATTTCACAGAACATCAAAGAATTCATACAGGAGAAAAACCTTATAAATGTAATGAGTGTGGGAAAGCATTCATTAATTATTCATGCCTTACTGTACACCACAGAATGCATACAGGAGAGAAACCTTATAAATGTAATGAGTGTGGAAAGGCCTTCATGCGTTCTTCATCCCTAATTATACATCAGCGAATTCATACTGAAGAGAAACCTTATCTATGTAATGAATGTGGGGAATCTTTCAGAATAAAATCACACTTAACTGTACATCAGAGGATTCATACTGGAGAGAAACCATATAAATGTAATGAATGTGAGAGGGCATTTACCAAAATGGTAAATCTCAAAGAGCATCAGAAAATTCACACTGGAGTGAAACCTTATAAATGCTATGATTGTGAAAAATCTTTCAGGACTAAGTCATACCTTATTGTACATCAAAGGACACATACTGGAGAAAAACCATATAAGTGTAATGAATGTGAGAAAGCTTTCACTAATACATCACAACTTACTGTACATCAAAGAAGGCATACTGGAGAAAAACCCTATAAATGTAATGAGTGTGGGAAGGTTTTCACAAGTAACTCAGGCTTTAATACCCATCAGAGAACGCATACGGGAGAGAAACCATTTAAGTGTAATGACTGTGGGAAAGCATTTAGCCAGATGGTACATGTCACAGAACATCAGAAAATCCACAGTGGAGAGAAACCCTATAAATGTGATGTCTGTGGAAAAGCCTTTAGGAGGGGTTCATACCTAACAGTGCATTGGAGAACACATACTGGAGAAAAACCCTATACATGCAAGGAATGTGGAAAAGGTTGTATCACCCTATCGCAGCTAACTCTACATCAGAGAATTCATACTGGGGAAAGGCCCTATAAATGTGAAGAATGTGGGAAAGCCTTCAGAACCAACTCAGACTTTACTGTACATCTGAGGATGCATACTGGAGAAAAACCCTATAAATGTAATGAGTGTGGAAAAGCCTTTAGGAGTAGCTCAAGCCTTACTGTTCATCAAAGAATACATCAAAGAGAAATTCAGCTAATATAAAGATTAATAAATCATTCATCCAGATGCCAACTCCACAAGAAGAATCATAAACTGTGTCTTTTATGAATGTGGGGAAACTTCCAGGAGCAGTTCACCAGAAAATACACACTTAAGAGATACTTTAGAGGGGGCGCCTGGGTGGCTCAGTCGGTTAAGCATCTACCTTCAGCTCAGGTCATGATTCCAGTGTCCTGGGTTCAAGCCCCACATCGGGCTCCCTGCTCAATGGGGAGTCTGCTTCTCCCTCTGCCCCTCCCCCTGCTCTTGCTCTCTCTCAAATAAAGAAAATCTTTTAAAAAGAGAGAGATACTTTAGAAACATAAGAATGTGGTAAAGCATACAGTTATATTAAATCTTAGAAGTTCTAAGAAAATTCACAATAGAGAAAAATAATGGACAAATGAAAGTATTCATCCAGATTTCATACTTTATTCACTTAACAAATCATCTTCAATGAATTGCCTATGTATTTTTTGCCTATTTTTCTATTGGTTTGTCTTTCTCATCAATCTGGAGGTGCTCTTTATATATTTGAAATATTAATCCTTTTTCATGTGTGTTGCAAATTTTTTTAATCTAGTGATTGTCTTTATGCTTTTTTATATAGTAAAAGAGTTTAACATTTTAATTTTTCATAGTAAGATATTTATACATTTTCCTTTTAGATTGTTAATTTACTCTTTTAGTTAAAAGGGTTTCCTTAATCCGTAGGTTATACAATAGTCTCCTAAATTTGTTTACATTAAAGTCTTTAATCCGTCTGGACTAGATGGCCAGTCATAGAAGAGTAAATGGCCATTAATCTCTGAAAATGTTATGAACCTAAGGAGTACTCAGGGAAATGCAAATTAAGACAACCAATGAGATGTCACTTCCACTTCGTGGAGCTGGCAAAAATTAAGAGATCTTTTGCTAGTGGGTTTTGGGGAACCATCTACTTTTACAAAAAGGTTATATCAACTTATATTTCCACCAGCAATTCAGCAATATATATTTAAAAGTTTTTAAATAAAATTTTAAAATAAAAATACTTTGACCTAGCAGTCTCAGTTTGGGAATCTGTCCCCACAGAAATAACATCATCAATGCATAAAAATACAAATAAGGAGTTCCATCGAAGTATCGTTTGTAGAGACAAAGTAGAAAACCAAATGGAGACAAAGTGAATGCCCATTGATGGGGGAATTGTGATATAACCATTCTATGGAACAGCATGAGAGTAATTTTTAAAATTAGTTATTTCTACATTAGTTTATCTCAAGGTATTTCCACAAATTTTAATAACTAATTGCTTTATTACAGAGCTTTATGTGTACAGGATTTTATTTTTGTTAATGATTATACCCATTTATGTATATGTGTATGTGTTGAGCATGGAAACAAGTATATATACCAGAAGAATATATACCAGGCTGTTATTATTGGTTAGCTTGAAGGGAGGGAGAAAAGTAGGGAGATAAATGGGGGAAAGGACTGGAATTTTTTTTTAATTTAAATGCAGCATGTATGGCTTAAAACTCAATGTAAAACTGTATTTGTGTGAACTTTTGAGAACCATGAATGAAAGGATGTTGTCTTCAGATCTCTATGATTGTGGACTCTCTAAAAAAAAAAAGAATGTTGTCTTCAGATCTCTATGATTGTGGACTCATCTCTTATTTCTGTCAATGTTTGACTTTATTTTTTGAAGTTGTATTATTCAGTACATATAAACTTAGCATTGTTATATCTTCTTGTTGAGTTGACCCTTGTATTATATATCCTTCTCTACCTTTAGTAATTTTTTTTATATAAATTCTACTTTTTCTGATATTAATATAGTGAAAACAATTTTGTTTTGGTAAATGTTTTCATGGTGTGTTAGGCAGAATTTTAAAATGGTCCCCAGATGCCCACCCCCTCATATACAAGCAGTTCCCAGTTATTCAGTTAAACACCAATCTAGGTGATTTTGTGAAAGGATTTTGCAAATGTAATTAAGGTCCCAAATCAGTTGACTCAAAAATAAAGAAATTACCCTGAGTGGGCCTGACCTAATCAGGTGAGACCTTAAAAAGCATAAGGCTCTTCCTGGTGAAAGAATTTTGACATATGGGAATTTGATGTAAGTGATATTCTTCATTGCTGGCTTTAAAGATAGAGGGGCTATGTTATAAGAAATGTGGTCATTCTTTAGGAACTGAGAGCATTTTGTGGCTGGGAGCTAGCAGAAAACAAATACCTCAGTTGTGTAACTTCAAGGAACTGAATTTTGCTAACAAGTTGAGTGAGTCTGGAAATTGATCTTCCCTAGTCTCCATACAAAACTCAACTCAGACTCCTTGATTTCAAACTTTGAAACCTGAGCAAAGAATCCATCATACCATGTTGAACTTCTGATCTACAGAACAGTAAACTAATAAGTAGTTGTTGTTTTAAGCTGTTGTTTGCATTAATGTGTTACGTAGCAGTAGAAAACAAATCCACATGATATAGCTCTTTTTCATTCTTTTACTTTCAACTTATCTGTGCCCATAAATTTAAAATGTGTCTCTTATACGCAGTATGTATTTGGGTCTTTTTTTTTTTTTTTTAAGATTTTATTTATTTATTTGAGAGAAAGAGAATGAGAGAGAGCACATGAGAGGGGGGAGGGTCAGAAGGAGAAGCAGACTCCCTGCCGAGCAGGGAGCCCGATGCGGGACTCGATCCAGGGACTCCAGGATCATGACCTGAGCCGAAGGCAGTCGCTTAACCAACTGAGCCACCCAGGCGCCCTGGGTCTTATTTTTATCTAGTCTGACAATCTTTGTATTTAAGGGTTTAATCCATTTATATTTATTGTAATTACTAACATATTTAGGTGTATCTGTCATTTTATTTATTTTTTATTTGCTTTATCTGTTACTTCTGTTTTTCTTTTCTTGCTTTTCTTTGGACTAATCAAATACATTTCATTATCTCATTTTCACTCTATTCAATTTAATTGTAAATTCATTTATTATTTTGGTGGCTACCCTAGAGCAGTGTTTCTTATAACTATTTTCATAGTAATTCTAAGACATTATTTACCTTTATTACTCTCATTTTTCTCATGAGTTTAGATCAGTGTTTTTCAAAAACTGCATGACATGATATTACAAATGACTTAATGCAAAAAGAGATCTGAGAATTTGGCTATCCTCTATTAAGCCGTTGTTATTGACTGAATTGTGTGCCCCCAAAATTTGTATGTTGAAGTCCTAACACCCAGTACCTAATAATATGACTGTATTTTGAGATAGGGCCTTTAAAGAGATGATAAGTTAAAATGAGGTTGTTAAGGAGGGCCCTAATCACATCTCACAGGTGTTCTTATAAGAAGAGGATATTTGGATTCACAGAGAGACACCAGGGGTGCACATATATAGAGAGACAGCTGTGCAAAGAGGCAACAAGAGACTGGCTATCAGCAAGCCAAGGAGAAAGGCATCAGGAGAAATCAGCCCTGCAGACATCTTAATCCTGGACTTCTTACTTCCAGAACTGTGAGAAAATTAATATCTATTGTTAAAATCACCTCTGGTGTTTTGTTAGCAGTTCTAGCAAACTAATACAGTCAAGCATTAAGGAGATTTGCAAAAATGTAAAACCATACCACTCTGCACTAATTTTTTGTTTTGAAAATATTATTTTTATTAAAATATTATTTTTTCAATATCATGTCATTGTTTATTGTCAATTTTAATGCATTAATATTTTTATTTTTCCAGTTTTAATTTCAAATATGGTACATATCAATAGATATAACCCACATAAATTAAGGCTTTTTGGCTTCCTCAATAATTTTTAAAAATTGTAAGAGTGTCTTGAGACTGAAATGTTCGAAAATCATTGCCCTTAAAATTCCCTATGAATCTTTGACTCAATAGAGCACTCTTGAAATTAATATTTTAACATTTCAAAGCAATGAAAAAACTAAGTTTAATTCTATTTTCTCCTTGACATTTGTTCCATTGTTAAGTATTTTATTTCTACATATGTTTTAAATTCCAAAAGATATTATTACTGTTTTTGTGTTAGCAATGTTTGTTGATATTTACTCACATATTTACCTAGTTTTCTTCATTCTTTCCTGAAGTTCCTTGTTCCAAGGAGGATCATTTCCCTTCTGTCTGGTTAATTCTTTTTGACATGTATTATAATTTCCCAGTGGGTTATCTTAGTGTTTGAGTTATTTTTATTTTGCATTAATTTAGAAAGGATATTTTCCCTTGGATTAGGATTCTAGGCTGGCATATTGTTTTGTGTTGTCTTTTTCCTTTCATCGCCTAAAATAAAATGACATTGCTGTCGTCTGGCTCCTGCAGTTCTTAATAAAAGTCAATTATACATTCTTGTTTTTATCTTTTTATAGCTGCTTTTAAGATTTTTATCTTTGCCCTTGGTTTTTATAAGTTTTTATAAGAACATTTTATTTTATTTTAAGTAAACTCTACACCCAAGGTGGGACTCAAACTCATGACCCCAAGATCAAGAGTTGCATGCTCTACTGACTGACCCAGCCAGGTGCCCCCCGTTTTTATAAGTTTTAAAGTATATGCCTAGGTGTGAAGGTCTTTTTGGTTTATGTTTAAATCCCATTTACAGTTTGTAGAGCTTCTTGAGACTGTGCTATAATGTCTTTCATCAGTATGAGGAAATTCTCAGCCAGTGTTTCCTTAAATATTGCTTCTGCCCCATTTTCTCTCTCCCTCATTCCAGGATTCCAATTATATATAAATTAGAACTTTCACATGTTCCAGATGCCTTTTAAGGTTTTCTGTATTTCTCTGTGTGCATCAAACTGGATACTTTCCATTGACTTGCCTTTTCATTAACTAATATCTATTCTGCTATTTTTATTTTGTTTTTATTTTTTAAATTTTATTTTATTTAAATTCAATTAACATATAGTGTATCATTAGTTTCAGAGGTAGAGTTCAGTGATTCATCAGTTGCATATAACACCCAGTGCTCATTACATCACATGCCTTCCTTAATGTCCATCACCCAGTTACGCCATCCCCCCACCCACCTCTGATCCAGCAACCCTCAGTTTGTTTCCTATAGTTAAAAGTCTCTTGGGCGCCTGGGTGGCTCAGTTGGTTAAGTGACTGCCTTCAGCTCAGGTCATGATCCTGGAGTCCCTGGATCGAGTCCCGCATCAGGCTCCCTGCTCACCAGGGAGTCTGCGTCTCCCTCTGACCCTCCCCCCTCTCATGTGGTCTCTCTCTCTCTCTCATTCTCTCTCTCAAGTAAATAAATAAATAAAAAATCTTAAAAAAAAAAGTCTCTTATGGTTTGACTCCATCTCTGATTTCATCTTATTTTTTTTCTCTCCCTTCCCATATCATCCTGTTTTTTTCCTTAAATTCCACATATGAGTGAAATCACATGATAATTGTCTTTCCCTGATTGACTTATTTCCCTTAGCATAATACCCTCTAGTTCCATCCACATGATCGCAAATGGTAAGATTTCAATTTTTTGATGGCTGAGTAATATTCCATTGTATTATTCTGCTGTTTTTAATCTTCCATTAAACCCATCTCTTTTTTTTTTTTTTTTTTGCGATTTTATTTATTTATTTGACAGAGAGAGACACAGAGAGAGAGGGAACACAAGCAGGGGGAGTGGGAGAGGGAGAAGCAGGCTTCCCACAGAGCAGGGAACCAGATGCGGGGCTCGATCCCAGGACCCTGGGATCATGACCTGAGCTGAAGGCAGATGCTTAATGACTGAGCCACCCAGGCGCCCCTAAACCCATCTCTTAAATTCTTAATTTTAGTCAGATTTTTTGTTTCTGGAATTTTTTTCTGTCTTTAGATGGATTCTAGGTATCTGCTGAAATTCTCCATTCTTTTCTCAAATTTCTTAAATCTATTGAAAATGTTTACTTTAAAATCCCTGACTATTGGGGCACACTGGGTGTTATACGCAAATAATGAATCATGGAACTCTACATCAAAAACTAATGATGTAATGTATGGTGATTAACATAACATAATAAAAAAAATGTGAAGAAAAAAAAACCTCTACTCAGCAATAAAAAGGAACAAACCACTAACATGGATGAAAACATACTGTGTGAAAGAAACCTTACCAAAAAAAGGACACACACTTTGTATGATTTCATTTGTTTGAAATTCTAGAACAGGCAAAAATAATCTATGGTGGGGGACACCTGGGTAGCTCAGGCTTAAGCGTCCAACTCTTGATTTCAACTCAAGTCATGATCTTGGGGTCTTGGGATCAAGCCCTGCATCAGGCTCCCCACTTAGCAGGGAGTCTGCTTCTTTCCCTCTCCCTCTGCTCCTTCCCTGCTGGCATACATGCTCATGCTCTCTCTCCAAAATAAATAAATCTTAAAAAAAAATAATCTATGGTGGGAAAAAAATAAGAATAGTCATTCTACCTAGGATTGGGTTTGGGAATTCACTGGAAAGAACCATGAGGGAACGTTCTAGAGTAATGCAATGCTCTATAGCTTGATAGGGCTTGGGTTGCACAAGGATATACATTTGGTAAAATTCAACCAATATACACTTCAGATTTGTGAATTTTATGTTATAAATTTAACCTAACAGGGAAGAAAAGCTTAAAATGTTAAGCTCTAGGTAATGTATTGTTAACCTTACAAATAAAACTGCCAGTTATTTTACCAGCAAAAGATGAGTTTATTCAGGAAGAGCTAAGAATTGCAACCCAAAACCCTCTTTTATAGAGGAAGGG